TTATTACCTTATATAAAGCGCGAGCGGTTTCACGTTCGACCCAAATGCCGTCATTATGTGTATGACTTCCAAGTCTCCTTTACTCTAATCTAAAACTAAGCGGGTGAAGAAAACTTCAATAAGGAGACGTCGTAGTAAACCGTTGAGCGTTGAACGATTCTAGGTTCCCTTGCCGAATTAGTCGAGTAGACACTTTATCTTACAAGTTGCTTGCAAACTTTATCTACAATTCTTTCTACTTAAAATATCGAGCTTCTCAAACGCTTTCGTAAACTCTAAAGTCTCTAAGAAATTATTTTCTTTTCCCCAATGGTAAATCTAGAGAAGAGCAGGTAGAAGTAAATCGCTGACAGTCTTTAATTGAGACTGGATAAACTTTAGTGAATCCACCTGACTTACCTGTACCGGCTCAATTTTATTGTACTATACGGATAGTCGTTGCAGTATGATAATTAAATTTACATAATAGAAACCACGATCGAAACCGTCTTTTTAACTAGTTTACAACAAATTCACATTTACACCTTATAAAGAAGGCGCTTGTTTCACAAGGAAACTCATTAGCATGCACACGTACATGCAATCTCCAGTTTATATCGTGCATGTGTGTGGGTTGCTCATATGCTCGTTGCATTATTCAAAATCCTATTTAAATTTAAATTTGTATGAAAATCTGCTTTTTTATTATAAGAGACACACACGAAGACGCTGGATGAAAGGCAAAGATAAGCAGGTGTGTTATGCTTTTAAGCGGATGGATAGCATATTTGAAAAAGTGGATAAATAATTAACACTTTTTTTTCTCACTACGTAATTCCCACACATTCTTCTTAATACTTTTATAGAAACTAATTCCTTTTTACTTTACATCCCAATAATTGGTCCGCTTATCGTGAAGCCGGACAGCAGCGGTAACGACAAATCTAAATTGTTTATTAGCGGCTTGCTCTTTTGAACCTTTTGTGTTTTCGTCAAATCAAAACATGCTCACAAATATTTGGGGTGATTTAATCTTTATCAATTAAGTAAAAATAGAAATTTTCGTTATCCCTAATAAAATATAAAATTTTTTCCTTGCCCTATTCAGTAGCTCTAACAACTACCGTTTCCAACAAGTCTTTTCTAAAATATAAATTTCTTTATGTAGTTTCTTATCGATTTTGATATATTTTAGGAAAATGTTAGTTAGACATTTCCACATTTGCTTGCATATAAGTACAAATATATGTGTTTATATATGTTTGTGTCTAGAGTGTTTTGTGGGTTTTCATGATGTTTTTTGTCCGTCTCCAAACCAAAAGATATGAAAACTTTTTATACCAATTATTTGGCTTTAACGCGGGCTACCTCCAAGTTGTGGATTATGTTTTTAATTAAATTTTCTTTTTTTTTTTTTTTTCTTAGGCACACTTAGCCTGTCAGACACACCTAGATTTGCTTAAAGTCGATTTTACGTAGACTTTAATTACATAAGTAGCACTTATTTTTCAAAATTTTATAAACGTTTTCATAATATAATTGCTGCAATACCTTACAAGCCCTTACAATTGAACCCCTTAGGTATATCAGTAGCCAGAAGAAGGAAAAAGTACTGACGCGCAATTAGGAATCACTTATGTAGTTATTGTTACTAAAATTTTTTCCTCAAATGCATTCTCATTAATGATATTTGCGAATAATTTAAAAAGTTAAAGATTTACTTATGGCTTAAGGTGTGGTCACATTCTACATACACACGATCTGAATTCGTATGTAAACCTTTACAGCCGATAACCGCAATAGAATTATTAAGCACATAAAATATGGCATTTAAAACTTGGATTGCCAGTCATCTCGCGAGAACCGCAATTGTTATTATAATTGGCTCAAGTAGAGTGCAGGCAATTAACATAAATGTTATATAACTCCAAGTTTGGCACATATGCTGCTACATATTGTAAACAATCTAAATTACCAACGCGCTAGCTTGAAGTAGAAGTGCGATGCGCTGCTGTACCTTTAAATGGCTTTATTTAAAAAAAATTTTGCTCATCAGGTTAAAGAAGATAATTTTACTTAAAAAAAATAATTATCAGAGAATAGTAAAAAATTTTTAATGCAGTAACAAACAAATAAATCTCCTTTTACAATCCTTCTTTTATTTCTCGTCATTAGCTTATCCCTTACGAATGCTTGGAGCATTACAAGGGTACACTATAAAGGCTGTGTGAATTAACTCATAAAGTGGAATTAAAGATATGCGGTGTACAGAGTGCCAATTTTTAAACTAAGAATACGTAAGTATATATGTACGTAAAGTGCGTCTGTCAAAGACAAATTTCCTTGCCGCCAATGCTTTAATTGCCGGCTATCTCAAGCAAATCTAGAATTTAAGTGATTAACTTAAAAATTTATTAATTTAATGTCAATATTGTTGGGAGAAAATTTATAAACGACTATGGCGCCTTGCATCATTTTGTAAAGAGAGGCTGTAGTCTCTCCTAGCCGAAGATAACATTCAGTTGGTGCGTGATGTAATAATAAGATGCTTTACAAGAACTATATAAGACAACTTCCAGTCTTAGTGTGCAAAAAACAAATTATGCGGCAGCAGCCACATTTGCTTGTTTTTATGTTAATATTCAATAAAGACGAGTCTTGTTTCGCCTACTGCTGCCGCAAGTTAATTGCTTACAGAAAGTTTTTTTATACAATTAGCATTCAAGGCTGTTATCATTTTCTTAACAACGCCAAGGACGGATAACTTTACACCAAGTTTACTCTTTTCTTTGCCCAGCAACAAGTATACATATATATATAAATTCTTTATCGGCAGAAAAGTCCATTTAAGCATATCCATCTCTTGTTCTGCCGACATGAAAATCACTCCGTACGCGCTGACGCACATTAAGTTCGGAAGTGGAAGCGATCAACCAGTAACAGACAAATATTGCAAATTTTAATTTACCGCGAACAATAAATTAAGGTTTGATAGAAGATTCGTGAAGGCCAAAAAAATTCAGTGCCAAAACGTTCTTAAGTAGCCGTTTTGATAGATTTCTAATTAAATAAACACTCTCCGCTTGTGTAAATTTATTAGGTAAGTAACGTGTGGTACACACCGAATAACATTTTTTTCTCCCGTTTTTTAATACTCAGTTCACGTTTCCAAATTGCCGTTAATAAGATGTCATGGCAAGGTTCAGAGTGGAAATAGCGCCGGTCGATTTACTAAAATGCTTCCATATATATATTTAAAAAATTGTTCTTTTTTGGGGCAAGTAAATTCACTTGCTTCCCTTTTTTGTTTCGCAGAACATTTTAAAAATTATTTGCTTAAATACAGATCAGAAACAAATTTTCAAGCCAAACTTCTCGGTTTCTCGAAAAGTGGTGGAATGCAAGAGCAAATCCATACCGAAATATCAGCCCTGCGATTATGTTTTCGATATGTAACCACATTTACTGTTAACATATTCTTCGATAATCTTCTTTTCAAAAAATATCCATCCAACTAAATTGTATTAAATGAGACAACGGGGACATGAATCTAGTTCGAAGCGAAAAAAAAAAAAACTATTTAGCTAAAACGGAATTGAACTATGACATTTTCCAAATAGCATATATATGCTAATACTAGACAAACATCGATTTAAATTTTTCACTTGTTTCATCATAACTTAAAAATTTAATAAACTAAAGCACATTGCAGTTATGGGAAGTGTGAATGTCTAAGCCAGGGAGTGCAGCGAAAAAACCCCCAAATATATATATATATAGTGTTTAATAACATCTATTTACATCGATAAATAAATGTATATTGCTGAAAGGAGAGGAGGTATTAAACATTGCGAAAAGCCGTTAATATAACGTGAATATGAGAAATGCAATCTCTTCACTTTCTAGCCTTCCTATAGCTGTGTATAAGAAGAGTTGACAAAGACACAAAATAAATTAATTTTTTGACATTATGATTGATAGCAAGTGGATAAACATGACTGGCTGGTAACGATTAGCTAGCTGGTAACTGCAACAATAATAACCGTAAAAAGTGAACCGATAAAATAAATTTAAATGACGAATAACGTGACGATTTCTCTAAACTACATGAAGTGAATTTGCCTAAATACAGTCTCGTTACCACACATGAGAACTACACGCAAATGCAACGAAATAAGCAAAAACTACTAATTATAATAACAAAAGCTTTTAAAGGTGGTCTTTGGTTATCTCGCTCTTGCCCGCATACTTAAGTTGATGTATGCGATGTGTTACTACAAAGTTCAGGAGGTATTGATACAATAATAAACTCTTATTATATGTAAGACAGGCGAGTAAGTTTTATTTTAGTGATGAACGCCATAATTACCGTTAGATAAACCACCATTGCTTTATGATGAGAGGACAAAGCAAACGATTGGTGGGCTTTTAACGCCTTTTCACCCATTAAGGTCGTCTCGATGAGAGTGAATGAGATCAAGAATTCAAATAAGAGAGATAGCAAACGTACGTAGGTTACAATAAAAATATCCAAAATATTTGTACTGCTCGCTCTAATGAAAAAATGAAAACTTGTTTTCGGTTGCAACTCTTTGCGCTCCCTAAACAAAATATATACTGAGATAGTGAGATAGATAGGGAGAGAAATAGAGAGAGAAAGAAAGAGATGAAGAGAGAGAGAGAGAGAGAGAGAGAGCATAAAAATAGTATGTTATCATTATTGTTTTTTCCACAATGCTTGTTTGTTGCTGTTTTACGCTACTTCAGATTGTTCATTTATGATTTGATTGAGTTTAACCACCAACAAACAAGATACGAAAGCGTAATAAAAAATAACAAACCTTTTTGCCGCAAGCAAAAGCAGCAAAAACTTGAAACGCACACAATGCCACCACCACCAACCAACACCACGGTAGTGCACACAATAATAAGTTTTACCACACGGTAAAAAAGTATGGAAAACAAGAAAATCAACTTGTCTAGTTAGCAATCTTCAATCTAGTTCCGAAACAGTTGTGTGTGAAACGTCGAATGGAAAGGTCTTAAACTATTCCTGTTTGACTGACTGACTACATTAACTGATTGATTAAGTGTACAAAGCAAACGTGTAGCAAATGAACCTTTTGTATAGCAGCTCATTACCGCAAGAGATTCTTTTTATTTATTTTTTTTATTTTTTATTTTTTGAATAGTAAAACAATGTAAATAGAGAGAAAGAGGAATAGAGTGAAAAGTGCATACAGCTCTGCCTATTGCTAACAAGAAAATAAGATCATAATAATTATAAAATACAACATAAATATGTGTACAACACTTCTTTCTATATCGGTTTATTAATAATATGCACACTGTGGCAGAAGAAATCAGAGAGAAAGAGAGCGTCGCTAACACGCAGTGTATAAATCGTATCATAAGTGACTCAAACTTAACTGAGTAATGATGGTGTTGTGATTGATTTTAGTATGCCGTGGACTCTAAATAAGGATAGACATGTCAATACGCGTTATTCTGACTTTAGACATAATAGTGCAGTGATTGAGCAAATAAATTTTAATTGATGTTACTTAACATAAATCCTAATCAGTGATTTCAAAACACAACAGCAACAAAAAAGATATTGGAAAACTATTAGTGCGACTTTTTCACTTGTTGTCTTCGCATAAGGCGGCGTGTAAAAATTTTAATTATCAGTTTTTGGGATTTTAGTATGCTTTGTCCACCAACGATGCGTCCAGCAAGCCCAGCCGAATCGGAAATTTCAGTAGGAGGTGCACCTAGCCCCTTACCACAGAATCAGAATCGCAGTGCTATTGATTTACTGCATCAACAACAATTACTTATGCATCAACATGCTGTAGCAGCGGCGGCGGCTGCCGGCTTTACACGTGCTGCTGCCGTCGGTACTGTGCCTGAAGAATATTTCCAACCTCTAAAACGTTTACGTATATCCGCTGATTCTGGTGAGCTTAAAGAAAGATCCCCCAGCCCCATGCGATCCACCCATTCTATCAACGCTTTAGCAACAGCAACAAACGCCAGCACAAAGGCTAATATCGAGGGAGTGAAAAGTTTTTCCATAGCAGACATATTAGGCCATGAGAAACGAGATTCTATACCAAGCTCTCCACCACCCGTAACGCACAGTTCAGGCTTATTGCAGCCACGAACGGAACCATTAGATATAGTTAGCGCAACTGTTCCACATCCTGCCGCTGCTGCTGCCATGCTTATACCTGGCTCTCCACACGTGGTAAGACCTTGGGATCATTTATTAGGTCCCATGCCAGTGCGACCATTTATTCCGTCTGCCTTGTTGCATTACGAACAACGTTTAGCTTTAGATTATCACCGCCAATTGCAAGAACATTTCAACGCTCAAGCTCAACTTCTACGACATATGAATGGGATGGATATAATACCATCAGAAAGTGGTAGTGAAAGATCTAGCTCTGCGGCCAGTGACTGCTGTTCTCCAGAAATACTTCGCGCTTCTAACGAAACCCACGCCAAACATACAGCTCAGACCAGTAGTGAACGATCACACGCGAGTAATTTAAACTCAAATAACACTACGAGTACCCAAACATCAAACAACAGCAATCAAGGTGGTAGCGGTAAAACGAAAGCAAACGGTACACCATTGGATGCTCTATTTCAAATGACAACCAAAGATTTCGATGAATCCCAAGGTAAGGTGAAAATAAAACAAATATCGCAAGAATCCAGCGAGCTTCACGGATTGTGTTCAGCTTATTTAGAATTAATTAAAAGCAACAAAACACTATTTGGCATTCAAATAATGACGACATTTCATATATTAATTGGATATGTCGGAAAACGACTCGTTGGTACATAACTACATCAAGCATGACTCATTTTGTAACAAATTCTTGACACTGCTCATTTAAAACAACGACAACATCACAACTAATAAATAACTAAAGATAATCATTAAACGTTCCTTTCAACAAGAGTTTTAATTGAATTGTCTCTCACAATGCAAAAAAGCAACCAAAAGATTAAAACAAATGTAAATGAGCGCCCACTGTTTCGAACAACCGCAATATATATTAATTTTATCTAATTAGTTGACCATAATTAATACTGACGATTTATGAAAGCAAAAAAAGATATATAATAACAAAAGCCAAACTGTTAATTGAAAACGAATTTTGAACACTCTATGCTTAACATTAATAGCAATAATTAGATGTGGAAGAAATCAGATCAAAGAAGTAGCTTTAAGAATCGCTAGTAGATAAAAGCGAAAGTTAAAATTAAATTCTAGGCCTCGCCAGGGGTGATTTCTAACAATTAGCTTAGAATTGGGCAACTGATTTTTCAAACCTGCATCTTTCCTAATACAAAGGAAAAGTGTCTTCTGAAATTACTAAGGTTTTGCTTTTGCTGAGATTGCAATTTTCCTCACAATTCGGTGAGTGGCTTTGTTCTCACGTAATCCACTACACGACACCAGATCCTAAGATATATTGTAGAAATTCTTCGAGATCCAATATTAAAAATTCTCAAGCATCTATGAGAGCTTCGTAGACGACGAAGAGTGAAATTTTTGTCAGGGAAAGTTTTCAAAAATTGACTAAATGCATCGAAATCGATGTATAACTACAAGCAGTCTTCTAAGCTCCGCAAACATCGTTTGTATTTTCAAAAGTAAAACATATTATGCTTCTTGTTCTTGTGAACAAGGTCATCTCACATATTTCAATCGCACAATATATAAAAACACTGCTAAATAGCTAATTGTGTCTGATTAGAGTTTTCGTGGCTAAGAAATAAATACCGACCCACCATTATAAGTAAAGCAACTGGATTTTACAGGTCGTTTGATAAAGGAGTGTTCGTGCGATATGCAAACATCAGCCAGGGGAAATATTTTGGACAATTTTACACGTATTTTTTAGAAGACATTCGCCTAAAACAACAAGCAGTAGAAACGGCTTTATGTAAGACATTATGTCCCATACGATTTTACTAAAAAATATAACAAGAATTATTTTGCTTGAAAAAATAAGAAAAAAAAAGTAAAAATACTTGTACAAAATATTCGAACAATTTAAGGTTTTGCTTTTCGAACAACCTAATACTTTAACCCATATTAAGAAGTATTAAAAATTCGTATCAATTATATTTTAAAACGATCATTGTTACGAATTTCATAGTTTGTTTTAAAATCTGTAATTGAAACACATTAGCGTAGGTCCTCGTATCTTATCTCTTGACTTGCCTCTCGAAAGAAAGAAAAAAACTCATTTTCGATGTAAAAAAGGTCTTTAATATTTTCTTCTACCCATTTAGCAGACATTATGACGCTAAGAATATCGTGCTATCCTGATTCCGTCTGTAAATATTTTCAAGGGAAATATGAAATTGATACTGCATTCTACGGCAAATGTTTACAAGTGTGTGAAGTTTTTTTACTCGTACGTAGCTATCTTATCTTGAAAGAAAAACCAAAGCATTATTAATCATCAAAGTAGTCAATTATCATAGTTTATGACTAAGAGGAAAACAAACAAAGAAAGAATAAAATAAAAATCCATTTGGTAATATACGGAGTATTCTTCAAGATACTCAAATTGCACCGTTCGAATTTTGTTAATGTCCATAAAGACACTTGACAATTTGTTACTAAAACAAAACTCCTTTTTTAAGCAACGTAAACACCAAAGCAAACTCACACACTTAATACAAATAATCCAGATGGTCGACAAGCGTCCATAAATTAGTTAATAACTCTGATTAGAGTTTTGGAAATACGAAGACATTTGGTTTAAGTTATTATGGAAAGGTCTAAAATTACTATTATTACCCAAGCATATATAATCTAACCTAATTATTACTTAAAAAGATATGCTCAGTTAAGTCAGTTAATCTATTGCTTTACAATGGAAGCACTAGTGAAGTAGGAGAGAAGTGCTTTCCAATAATTTGCCAAAACAAATTGCAGCAAATAACTTCGTAGGTATAGATTAAAACGACGCAACTATTTCATAACAATGTGAACACTAAGGCATTAGAAATTAAAGAGAAACTTTGCATTATCAACAATAAGGGGGGAAAAGGGGTCTTTCACTAAGCTTTCCCATTAGTCTGCAATATCCGAACCATAAAAATGCCAAATCCCCGTCTTCTTTACCACAGTCGTATGTTTACGGAGAATACGGCAAAAAATTTACAAACCCGTAGCTGACTAACGTTCATAACTAACATGAAAATCTCATCAAGCATTTTTAATTTCACAGGCAGATAGTAAAACCGTAGGGAAGTGATGCCTTTCTTTGAGTGAATAAAAAAAAAACAATGATCTTCCAAACATTTTACGATAGGCTCTTTCCGTAAATAACTTTGAATGAAATGTCAAGGGTAGTAAATTTTTTTAATGAGGTCACCTTATAATTCCGCGCCGCCATATATCCAGTTCTCATGACGCGATTCAAAATACTTACACCGAGGTCCCGTATTATCATCTCCAATACACTGTGAACGTTTATAGGCTCACAAAAAGCAAATTACAATGGGGAAGTGACGGGTACTTACATGATTCTGAAGGACGGAAATCTGAAATAGAAGAAACAATGAAATTTAAAAGGTTTTGTTTGTAAAAGTAATTTCTACAAAATGAAGCAAATTTTCACTTAACTCTAAGCATATAATCCAACACAAAGAGTTTACTAAAATCTCCCCAAGTGATATATATATTACGTTTAAAAGTAATGCGAATGGGGTCGAATTTTGAAAATCACTAACCGCGCACGCAACAATGTGCAAAGCTAGTCACTTATCGTCATTCTATTACTACATTTCATAATAATATTAATTTCCCACGATTTTGAAATAGCGGAATAACGTTCAATCCTTTAGATACCGTGTATGTTATCGATCGAGCACCTTTTTGCAATCACTATAGATATTTTTTTTTTTTTGATATGACCAATTACTTAGCCGATGATGCCCCCTGTAGGTGTAACACGGTGGCGGTCCAAGAGAAATGAAAAGGGCAGGGGGAGATCGCAACTAGAGAGTGTGGGCCCAATAGGTAGGTGTTACATCTTTAGCGGACTCCCTATTCCCTATAGCTACGACCAAGGGATGTTAGTGTCACTTTACGATAAGGCTAATTAAAGTTTAGCGAAAGATAATCACAAAAACTTAAATATTGTAAAAAACGTGGACCATAGATACGAAGACGAAACCAAGATCGCTCTTTCCTACGGGTAATCATTTCTGTGTATTTGGAATTATAAGTGCATTCAATAGAAATCATTATTTGTCATCTATTTTTGTTCGTAATTAGTGCTAACTTAAATCTAATCACAATCATAAGCAAGGCCGAAAGCCGAAAGCAAGCAGACAAACGGACGAACGGACGCATAGACATGATTGAACTGACTTTTAATTCCACGCTGATTAGAACTATGTATGTTCAGCGTCAACGATCTGTGTGGCACGTTTTACAAAGTGAACAGTAGTGGTGTAAAAATTAAACTTGAAGATGTTAAATTAGCTAAGACTAAATAAAATAAAAATATGTACAAAGCGTTTTTAATTAAAATCTCATTATGAGATAAGACATTAGAAACCTATTAAAAAGAGATAAACTCACAGATTTGTACATATTTAATATTGACTTAAGGTGGCTAGAGAATCTCAAGCTTGCGGCAATCAATGTTTGACTGCTTAGAAGCAACCTTACGCGGTTTAAGCATACACAAAAACATGAGCGAGCACTCTCCACAATGACATTAAATCATACTTCAATGAGTTATGTAAAAATATATGTTTTTATGATTCTTGTATGGCAACGGCGTTAATAGTTGGGTGTAATACACAAGTATTAACAAGCTAATTAATCAATACTCAATTAAGATTGAATGTTAAATGGAATGAAAGTCAAGTATACTCGAGCGTTTAATACAAAGGCAGTCAGACACCTGAGTTATTCTAAATATTTAATTGTTGCATACATGTATCTTTGTACAGATCTATGGAGTAAATCAGGTATTCCGTAATTCAAATAGAATTTCAAGTACAAATAATACACCAACACACACACGCCCACTATGCAAGCTGCTTAAGCAAAAGTAAATTTGCTTTTCTTCTCTATCTGTTAACGAGCAACGCCTCTTCACCGTATGCAATGCAAAGTATTTGTATGCAATTAATTTACTAGCAAACGAATTAATCATAACATTTATACATTATTATAATATTATTTATGCAACGCAAACATATAATTTTAGTGTTTGTATGTAATTATCTACAAAAGAGATATAAAGGGAGAGCAACTTTTTATATTCATGTCGTCACCCACCCAGTTCACTAATTGAAATCGTGCTTGTTTACTTTGTTACAGATAAGTCGCATTTGGATATATTCTCGAATCGGCCGCAGCCAAAAAAGAAGCGAAAATCGCGGACTGCATTCACCAATCATCAGATTTTCGAATTGGAAAAACGTTTTCTTTATCAAAAGTATCTATCGCCTGCTGATCGTGATGAAATTGCCGCATCTTTGGGTCTTTCTAATGCCCAAGTGATTACGTGGTTTCAAAACAGACGAGCGAAGCAGAAACGTGATATTGAAGAATTAAAAAAAGACTTCGAGAGCGTTAAAGTTTTTTCCGGCCATAAATCATTCTTAGAGAATGTTAACGACTTAAGCATTCTAAAGAAGAAGCCCCTACATCCCGACGCAGCGGTAATGGGAGGTCTGGCGGCGGCAGCCGCCGCAGGTATGATGCCCGTGGTAACTGCTCCTCCACCTCCCCCACCGCCCCTGTCAAACCTTAGCCCGCAGAAATGAATACGTGCCTATAAACGTCTCCCGCATATCAACTGAGATTTAAGTTCAGTTAGTTGAGATCCAGGAAATGAGCAAAACTCTGAGAACAGTTTCAAAACTATTCCTAAATATTTCGAAATTACGTGCGTGTTTTTCAAAGACATTGATTCACAAGTGAACAATTTGGCCTACACTCTACGCTGGCTTTGCAGCGTCAACGGCAATAAGCATTAAGTTAACGCGCACCGGAGATTTGCTTGCTCAGTCAATATGCACACAAACATACGGTTAAAGCAAAAAAGTTCGATCAGTAGTCACTACATTCCAATGGTCTCGATCACCGCAAAAAATACCAAAGAACGTTGTTGCCAATGTCTCTATTGCATCAATGATCTGTAAAAGTTTCAAACTTAGAGACAAAAACACACACAGCGCGTCGTAGCAGATATGTGACAAAAAGTTACAGCAAAGCAGTTAAGGCAAACGCAAACTAACTAACATCCTAGAAGAATGGTTCTGATCGCAAAGGAGTGCGCATATCTTACGTGAGGTGACAAAAGGAATGCCAACTCATCATTTTGAATGTATATAGATAGATAGATAGATAGATAGATATCTGTTAAATTTCTAATTGAAAATATAATTATCAGAAAAGTTGAGAGCATAAAAAGGAAAAAACGATAAATGTATATAATAATAATAATAATGAAATTGATGTATAAACGGAAATTATTTTTTCTTTTTGCATTTTACGTTTAGTCAAATTAATTTTTAGAAAAATTTAAGCATTAATTATGAATAACTAACTACATTAGCAGCTAAAGGAAGCAATCTAAGAAAATTATTTATCTAACTGTAAATATGAAAAAAAAATAAAAATTGAATTAATTAATTACATTAAACACGATGTACATATATATATATATATATATATATGTATATGTAGATATATAATGAACACTTTTGTTGTGTGCAATGAAAAATTTTCCCAAAATAGCGATGTGTGTTGTTAACCCTTTTTCATCGGCAGCCATAATGCAAACAATGAACTAGCAGTGTTACCACAGCCTGTTCATAGCCCATTTAAACACGGTGGAAGAGCTGGTCCCAAACGAAAATGAATACGAGTGGACGGTTTTTGTTCAGAAATGGACAACAGCCAAGCATACTGGAACATTAACGATGTCTTTCAATGCCGGAATCAAGAATAAAAGCTCAAAAATTGGCTGGCTGTCCAGTCGATCAAGAGAAGGTCGACAAGCATTGCACGGTCGTTCCACTTATGTTACATTAATTGCAACTCGCTTGCATTCTGTAATTTATAAATGAACTCCATGTCGAACGTGAAATTTGTACATGTGCATCGAACATCCGCGTTAAGCATAGGCATTTGCAAAACTGACAAACCTGCTGGGTCCTAAATTATTTCACCGTTTCCTTTTTATTCTTCTAATTTATTTACATAAATCACTGACCAAATGATCGACGTTTACTGGTCGTTTACATCTTTCTTTCCTCTTCGCGTTTTAAACCAAGCTTAATAAAACATAATGAAAGCCGTAGAAAATAAATCTAGGTTGACGGTGAACATCAAAGCTATAAAGTAACGGCAGGAACGAATTGATTAAAATAAATTTGAGATAAATAATTCGATTCAACAAAAGAAAGCAAAAAGTCACTTCATCGACAAAGCCATACAATAAAAATCAATCCAGAAGTGCCAGAAAAGGAATAGAAGGAAATTATATCAAAGATTAATGATAAACAATGCTAATGTCGTTATAAAAAAAAAAAAAAAAAAAAAAAAAAAAAGAGAAAGAAAAGCAGTGATTAGGTGAGAAAGAGTGTTGATCAAGGCGGTGTTTAAGTTTCAAAAGATTTTTTAAGCCGCTTTTTTATTGTTCATAAAAAATAAGTTTATCATTGTGTTAAGTGTAACGAAAAGGCAAAATAATAGTAAGTCGTGCTGCTGATAATAGGAAACCTTTTGAAGCGAAACCAAAATGCATGGGGAGCAGTAATTTTGTTATCTTTACTAATTGAAAAAATTTGAGGTCCCGTCTGTAATTAAAGAAGAAAAGGTTTCCAACTATTATTCCATTACCAATAAGCTGTATATATATACGCACACAAACATCCGGAACACAATGCTAATTATAATATTTTTAACGACTTAACAGCTATTCGTAGTTTGTTCCAATTTTATTTAATCCAATAGCTCTTCTTCTCCACTTCAGCCTCTATTCTCCTAATCATTGATTTTCTTTTTAATTACATTGAAAACGTCTTCTTTCTACGTAATGTCATATAAAATGCTGTTGAACAAATTCCAGACCGATCGCTCTACGTAGATGATGTAAGAAAAAGGCAGAGAGAGAGAGAGATAGAGATGCGTGCGTTAATAAATAACACAATTTAAAGTGTAACGATTAAGTGAAAAACTGGAATTTAAGTACGATTAATATATGCAGTAGAAACGACTAATATTGGCAACAACAAGCACTAATAAAATAACATAAAACTTGTAATAACAATAACAACGCTGCCAGAGGGTCTTGGTTAACTACTAACTCAACACTTTGATGTTTCACCGACCGACAACGATTACGGTAGCAGCTAAAGCTCGCTCACCTTTAACTGTGTTGTTGGTCAGCTTGGTTGCCTAGCCAAGAGCTACGTTCTAAGTTTAATTCATCAAATTCAACGAACACCGTCAAACACCGCTGTGTCTACCGCTTATTACTTGCGTCTGTGTGTTCATCTTGCTTATTTAAATGATTTATAATATGAATGAATATGTGCGCGCACAAACAACATTCATATTTCGCATTGGCGGCGTACTACTACTACTACTACTACTACTACTACTACTGTGTTCCAAGCTAAGTAGAATGAAGCAATTTTGGTTGAACTTTAATTTTCTTCTTCACTAGTTATAGTGTGTTCTAAACTAAACTAATAGCACTTAATGGAATGTAAAATAAAATTTACAAACAAAAACTCGTAGATATAAACATGAGTGAGTTTCAAAAATACAATTTTGACAATTTGCTTCATAAAGTTGTTGTACTAAATAGAGAACCGTCTTCTAGCAGGAAAGAAATTTTGGACATTTTTCTAAAGGGGCAAAACAGTGGCTAAGCTGTCCATTAAAATACCTGACGCCGGCAGCTACGACTGCCACGTCCACTAATCGTTCCATCCTTATGCTTTGCTCTAGCGATAAGCGATAGCGGTCGTCACCAGGGCACAGTATTTCTCTTATTTGACTTTGATCCTTCCTTTCCACTTCACTTTAGTGACTATATATTTTTCGTCATTGTAATGAGTGATTAATTTTTCAAATCTAGTGACTGGCAAAACCGACTTTATATTATTTGGTCTTATTGTTTGTTATAATATTAAGAAGAGTTTTTATAGTTTATTTATACTCTCTGCGTGGCAGCCATAAATAAGCCGGTGGTTATAAAATTTCGACTAATTCTTACTTGCATAGCCACTACTTGTTTATAAATACAAATGAATATATGAATAAATTTCTTTGCATTAACGTTCAAATATATATTTAAATATCGATGGCACCAGTTTTATATCTGTATATAATTTATTACGTTTCTAACAAACATAAATTTTAACATAATTAGCCAAAAATGTACGAACACGTATGAATATATGTATTAACATCTTTTTTCAACTTTCTTATCCGCATCTATTCTCAATTGGTTTCTGTTGTATCACTATGCTTTTCGTCGAATGCCTCTGAACACAACCCGTCCTATTTCCATAGAGAAAAGCAAGTCTTCGTGCCATGAAATGAATTCTGAAATTCGAGATTACACTCTTATCACGCTTCACCTGTGCTTCTGATGAAATACAATAAGTTTACGAGGTGTGAATCTGCAGATCAATGAACTTTCCCATTCTAATCTCTGCAAGGCGATTTGGTAAAGTCTGAAGTGATGTTTTCTGATATTTGAAAACAATATCGTTCACAATCGCGCAATGTTTATGCTCATCTAAAACCAGAGCTTTTCTAATAGCGCATAACAGAATGCAATCATATTTTTAAAATCGCAATCACTGAATTGAATTTCAATTCAGGAAGAGATGGAGTTGACTAAAAGTTTAAAACTTGTAACTTATTCCAACAAAGTCACAAATATTGAAAGTTCGTTCAGTAAGTTAGCAGGAGCCGAAAGAAGCAGCACTTGCGAAAGGCATTTACAACAGAAACGAGTTGACCTCTAAACGATAGTCAGGAGACTTTTTTTGTGGAAAGTATGCAAATCCTACTACCTATCAGTATTTAAATCGAAAATTACAGCAATTAAAGTTTTCGAAAAATAATATAAAAAGAATGTTTTTTTGTCGCTTGAGTCATGTAATTACCTCAGCGAAAAGCAAAATAGGGGAAATGGTTAATTGAAGGCAGGAAACCAAAATCATGAGAAGCACTTAAGAAAACATATACCCGTCTTGAGAAATTGGCAAACGATTTTCACATATTTGATGCTCACAATGCACACAGACATTACGAGCGTTGCGCACCCAGTAGTCAAACAAAAGCAAAAAAACATGTAAAAACTTAATAGTCGGGCAATGCCGACTATTTAATACCTGCTACCTTCTTCCCCGTTACAATTCTTTATTTATTTTCCCGATAGAATACAGTACACCTTTTACAAGTAACATCGCACTTTCCAGTGAAGCCATATGTGGTCCAAATTTAATACAATCAATCCTTATGTCAGATTATTATTATGGGCTTGTTTTCGTCATACAATATTAAAGAGTGGACTCTATGTCCTAAGAACGTCTAGTTTCGCAGGAATAATTATAGAGGAGTAGACTGAAAGAATTGGCCAATGAAATACGTAGACAGATGTTAGGAGGACAGGCAGACAGCCAGAGAATTGGAGAGACAAACATGGTCAAATGTACGCGGAAAATGATTCCGCATCGATCGTGATGACAGAATGTCGATCTATCTCAGATCATTCTGGGCGTTACAAACATTCACACAAACTTAATGTACTTTATAGTACGAATGTTGCAAGATATAAAAACTCACGACACGGTGAACATCCGTAAAACAATTTTTATTAAAGATGACAATTAGTACTCGCGTATGCTTAGGAGGTTTGCGTTGTGAATAATTGATGTTTTTTAATAAATCAAGACACGTACATACCGCATAATTAAATCATAAGCTCATTAGATTGCAATGACAAATCGTATTCAGTAACGCAAAGCTTCTCTGGTCAGCAAAACCGGTTCTAAGCACTGAGACGATTTGCTGCCCTCCCACAGCTACACGAACAAATTTATTCAGCTCAACATTTAGATCAAATAAGAACTAAGTAGTTCTCATAGTAAAACGGTTTTTTAAAGAACTTTGCGTTCCACGCAATGATGATTAAGTGAATAATTATATACATGTTGGGCACACACTCTCTATGTGTATATGAATAAGTCTTTGCTGCTTCATCAGCTATACCTAACGTCAAAGAAGATACATAATCGACACTATCATCATTATCATCATCCCCAAGCATTGGCATGGTATGTTTCAAAAAGCATTGCAATCGATGTTAATATCGATATGTACGTACATACATCACATATGTGAAC